GATATTTTTATTCCAGTATTTTACTACACCAGTCTTACCCCATACTTACATCAGGTATTTTATCTTGTTTACGGACCATGTTTACATCAGGTATTTTATCTTTTTTACGGCCCATGCTTACATCAGGTATTTTATCTTGTTTACGGCCCATACTTACATCAGGTATTCTATCTTGTTTACGGACCATGTTTACATCAGGTATTTTATCTTGTTTACGGACCATGTTTACATCAGGTAATCTGAAGTTCTACTACAATGTTCTTGTTTCATATTAACACCAGAAACATTTTCTTAAAAATCATAAGGTGAAAGGTATTTTGTTCGAAGTGAACTCATCACTAATGTTATTTACTTTGTACGTTTACTGGCTTACAAGGCTAAAATCCGAAGCTCGATCTCGCGCTGTGGATATAACGGCTAGCCAAATGTGCCTTTGCTCTAAAACAAAACAAAAAAAAAACATCAACAAAAACAACAAACGAACAGTTATTTAATTAATTATCAGAAAATTAGCAGAGAATATTCTAAAGTTATGTCATTCGTACAATTTTGAGATCTCACATATCATTTTTATTAATAGTATTGTAAATTTACTTATAATTTCAAGGTTTCAGATTTCTGTATTTTTTCCGCTCAGCAACTGGGTGTTGAAATATTCAACATAAGATTGTACATGTCTTATCACACTAACAATAATAAAAAAAAATTACATGAGCGCTAATAATTCAATAACCTTTATCAGTATTCCTGCAGGTAAACGTATTCGATTAAAGTATGTTGGGAATTTGGTAATATTTTTCACGTACATCTATATTTCGCGACGTTTTTTTTTGAGAATTCTTCTCAGCTTTCATACTGATGTATTTTCAGTTCGCATGTATCACGCATAAATCTTGCTGGAAATTTAAAGTATAATATTTGAATTGTAAATGAATATTATGCTATAGACTTGACGTTTTTATTGCACTTTATGTACGTTTTTCAGTATAACAGTTACCTTGAAGTAGTAAATTCAAATGACTCAAGAAAACTCGGTTTGAATGTTAATAAGTAATAGAAAAATAATACTTCAAAGAAATAAACCCCTTATCATGATATAAAGACAAGATACTGCATATAATTACATATATAACTCTCAATTACAAGATGCATTGGACAATAATTACGTAGACGTAAAGGATGAAGCACCAAAGCTCGTTGATGTACATGATTTGCGTTTAGTTCAATATATTAATTTAAGTTGATTTTACGTCGGGGAAAGTATTTTAATAAATAGTTATTCAAGCCATTTTTTTTTCTGAAAGGGTGTAACAATAAAAATGTGGTAAACTTTAAGATAAAGCCATAAGAAATTTTCTCAACAATTGTTCCCCCTAAAAGAAGGTATCAGATCCTAGAGATAATATGGAAACTAATAGGAGATAGTTAATTGATAACTCAATATATCGAGTTTCACAAGGTTCTTTTTCTTCTATCATCTCAAGGAAACATGCGTGAGTAAAGATTCACCTGAAGAAATAAAGATAAAATACTGGAATAAAAATATCAACTCTGCTCTTGGTATTTTATCTTGTTTACGGACCATGTTTACATTAGGTATTTTACCTTGTTTACGGCCCATACTTACATCAGGTATTCTATCTTGTTTACGGACCATGTTTACATCAGGTATTCTATCTTGTTTACGGCCCATACTTACATCAGGTATTTTATCTTGTTTACGGCCCATGCTTACATCAGGTATTGTATCTTGTTTACGGACCATGTTTACATCAGGTATTTTATCTTGTTTACGGGATCACCTTACCTTGTCCATAACGGAGACAACTAATTGATAAACACTGTGCGAATTTTGATGGTGTTATTTCATCTTAAAATCTAGAGCGATGTTGAAATCGTTGGTGTTTCCGAGTTACATTTGGTGTAAATTTATATATGAATAAGGTTTTTTAACTAGCTTAATTTTCAGATACAGAATCAGACTACCCGTTTCACGTGTAATCAGTTCTCAGATGATAATTCTCTAATGATAATCTGTGTCTGTGAATATTCAAAGTGTGAACTGTCTTAGGTAGCGATACAAATATTATAATTACAGATTAATAGACGGATTGGATTAGTGCCCATGATTTTATATTTACTGGAAATTAATATATCAACTAGGTTATTTTAAAAGTTCCAAGATATCTTATCTGTTTGTATGTATCTAAGAGTAGAAAGCTTTAATTAACTTTAATAGGCCACAGGTTTAATATATCAACAAGGTTATTTTAAAAGTTCCAAGATATCTTATCTGTTTGTATGTATCTAAGAGTAGAAAGCTTTAATTAACTTTAGTAGGCCACAGGTTTAATATATCAACAAGGTTATTTTAAAAGTTCCAATGTATCTTATCTGTTTGTATGTATCTAAGAGTAGAAAGCTGTAATTAACTTTAGTAGGCCACAGGTTTAATATATCAACTAGGTTATTTTAAATGTTTCAATGTATCTTATCTGTTTGTATGTATCTAAGAGTCGAAAGCTTTAATTAACTTTAGTAGGCCACAGGTTTAATATATCAACTAGGTTATTTTAAAAGTTTCAATGTATCTTATCTGTTTGTATGTATCTAAGAGTCGAAAGCTTTAATTAACTTTAGTAGGCCACAGGTTTAATATATCAACTAGATTATTTTAAAAGTTCCAATGTATCTTATCTGTTTGTATGTATCTAAGAGTCGAGACCTGTAATTAACTTTAGTAGGCCACAGGTTTAATATATCAACAAGGTTATTTTAAAAGTTGAAATGTATCTTATCTGTTTGTATGTCTCTAAGAGTCGAAAGCTTTAATTAACTTTAGTAGGCCACAGGTTTCGTGACATGAACGTTACTTTTCAATCATTTCTGGGGAAAAATGAAAGCAATGACGAAATATTTAGACATTAAAAGAGAAAAAAAAATGTTTTAAAACAGTAAGAAAATAATAAAAACAAATAAAATTGCTCTTAAAATCTTAATAAAGGAAGCTTAAAAAATGTGTCAGATGTGACAAAAAGAGAGACTTCCAAGAAGAATGGCCAGGTTGTGAGGGTGCTCGACTCGCAATCTGTGGGTCACGGTTTCGAATCCCCGTCCCACCAAACATGCTCATCCTTTCAGCCTTAAGGGCGTTATAATGTTACGGTCAATCCTATTATTCGTTGGTGAAGAGTAGTCCAAGAGTTGGCGGTGGGTGGTGTTGACTAGCTGCCTTCCTCCTAGTCTGTCACTGCTAAATTAGGGACGGCTAGCATAGATGGTCCTCGAGTAGCTTTGCGCGAAGTTCAAACCAAACCAAACTATGAGGAACATTAAAACAAATGAATATAATACGTAGATAAGAAATAAAGATACAATAATAATGTCTGAAACAGGATATTAAGAACGAAATAACGGAAGACATAACACTACATAAGAAGGCTTTCTTGGACATATGTCACCAAACTAAACTTACGCATACCTAAACAGTTATTTTGAGCCTAAGTATCGAAGCTCCATGTTAGTTCACTTATTGTTTAAAGAATTAATGCCGTTAATAATAATTGTTTTAAACAATACAGTCTATTCTGGTTTCTCTATAGATCTACCAATATATTCAAAGCAGATTTTACCGATCTCCAGAAGTTCTGTTGGGGATGCCTTATGATATGGCCATTGACGTCTGGAGTCTTGGTTGTATTCTCGTCGAAATGCACACAGGGGAGCCTTTATTCAGTGGTGCAAATGAAGTAAGTGACCATTCTCAAGTATAACTACGTCTACAAATGTTTGCTGAATTTTAAATCACGACAATTATGGTGTGTAATGCATTTGTCTAAATATTTACCTGGCTTTTTAGATGAAATTAAAATACGCTTAGGAATTCTTATTTTCGTGATATACATCCGCCGAAATTAGTAGACGTACAGAAAGTAGTATCGAAAGATGAGGATATTGAATGTTAAGTAAGAGACATAATCAAGTCCAGCACTGACTTAAAAAATAAGGATAAATACTGAACGTTTCTGTGTGAAACAATTTATTTAAGTTGATTGTTAAATAAGTACTAAATACTTCTTTGTGTTTTATATAATTCACCAATATATAAGGCCCATACTTAGGAAATTGTATTGTTTATAATGAATAAGGATAAATACTGAACGTTTCTGTGTGAAACAATTTATTTAAGTTGATTGTTAAATAAATACTAATTACTTCTTTGTGTTTTATACAATTCACCAATATGTAAGGCCCATACTTAGGAAATTGTATTGTTTATAATGAATAAGGACAAATGCTGAACGTTTCTGTGTGAAACAACTTATTTAAGCTGATTGTTTTTATATGAAGATTAACTCCTTGTATCTGAAGTTATACTAAATACTTCCTTGTGTATTATATAATTCACCAATATATAAAGCCCATAATTAGGGAATTGTATTGTTTATAATGATCACTGAAAGACAAATAACAAAAAATTTAAAAATATTATAAAACAACAAAAATATCCCCTTTATTTGTCCAAGATTCGTATTTATTTGTTTTAGAAATATTTAATAATGTTCGTGTTTGTCTTTGTAGACTCCTTAGGGTTAAATTCTAAAAAAAAAAGATAATCTATCTGTCAGTATATTTTCGATATTTGATATTAATTGTGCATATAATTTATATGCAAAACTAATTATTCGTTGTATTTCATGAAACTGCTCAAGAAAACAAGAAATCTAAATATATTTGCTTTTTTTTTTTGGTAAACTTGGAACTTTGTAAAAAAATTGTTTAGCGTAAACAAGATTATGGGTCGTAAAAGTAAAAAAAAATGATAAAAATGTTGCATATTTAATGTCCCATGATATTAGTTTGTTTTATATATCACATATCATAGTAAAGCGAATAATAAAAAGCAGGACTGGTGAAACTGGTGATTGAAAGCTAGAATAACATGCGCGAATAAATATCTATAATGTTTATTAAGTGTGAAATAGGTAGCTATGTGTTGTTCCAGTTTCTGTTGTATACCACGTACTACATATACTCTAGTGCGAAACCCTAATGTTTCTTCCGTATAATCTCTACTATCATGTGATTTGTCACTGTTTAGAGAACCGTTAGAGTAATAAATAAGAGCCGAAATTCATATGAAAATGTACGAGCCATCCGAATGCTTTTGCATAGTTTCTGTGTATAGACATAGAAACCTTTGTTATATGTCACCAAGTTCGGCTTTAGTTATGGTTAGTTCCTCTTCATATGTACATATTTATTCATTGGTGACAGTTATTCTGACTCAATTACATATAATGCTAAGCAAGTGCATCGATGTACAGATTCATTTCATGTTTTTCGTACAAGTTGTTTCGTTGGTGACAGTTATTCTGACTCAATTACATATAATGCTAAGCAAGTGCATCGATGTACAGATTCATTTCATGTTTTTCGTACAAGTTGTTTCGAGAAGACCAGATTTAGTTAACACGCATGATGTTAAAACAGTAATAACGTGTGGAAAATATAGTTGTTGACTTTTAAGTGATTGCGTGTAACGAGCAATCCTAGAATCAGCTAACAGTCCTAAAGGTGTTTCTGCAGGCCTAAGTATTTATGGAAAATAATAGCTTGTCAGAAGCCACAACTAAATTGAAAATTTGAATTGATTGAGAAAATTTTTGATCAAGCGAAATGTTATCACTCTACAAAACATCTAAAATAAGCCGAATTTATTATTTGTCTGTTGCTTATAAACATTTATATATTAAAACTGAAAATATTCTTCTTTGATGTAGAAATATTTTTTGGGCATCCAGGTGCGCCCACGCACAAGATTTAATTGTTCATGTGTAAATTGGTGTTACGTAGTGTTCCATGCATAAATGTTCTACTATTTTTTAAGCAAAAAACAAATTATCGTTTGGAGTCATGTGCAACATGACAAATACGTTCGTAGTTAAGATCGACCTTGTCTATAATTTTACTATGTTAAACTTGTGCTGTGTTTTCGTTTTCAACACGGAATCTTAGTATTCAACCAAATTAGCATTCTTCTCTGAACATTTGATTACAGTCTGATGGTTGAACAATGCCAGTTTGGTTGAACATTATTACCAGAACCATGATGCGTTCCTTAAATATATGTGTTTATGATTCTTGTTTTGTTCTTTGCCAGTTTTGTTGTTGACACACATTTGTCATATTTGAGAAAAATTTCACATCAACATCATCATATGTATTTTATTTTCATAACGAAAATTAAACATTTAAATTGTGAAATTCAAAAATAATTTCTTTTCAGGTACATTGTGTTACTACACTAAGGATAACAACACAAAAAACGACGGTTTTTGGTACAATGAAAAATACAGTTTCAGTAACATAGTTACCATCACCAGGGTTACTATCTAGTCGACATTAATCCTAATCATGACAACTATTTTACCGAAACCAGTCCTCTGTAACTGATAATAAAGACCTTATATTTCAATGTGCCAAAAAACATCGTTTTTTGTGTTTTTTAAAATTAACGCCATGTATCTAGGAACAGCCTCAGACTCTGAATGCCTTTTATAACATGAATAATGTGTTTTTATATACTTGTCTATATTGTTTAAATATCATCTAACTTTATCAACTACACATTCTATTCATGCTTGATTGGTTAATTGTGTCTTGTTGGCCCCTCCTACTATGTATCTGTTGAAACAGATTTTATTGTCTTGAAAAGTCATTGTTGTCACTAAATAATTATTTAATTTCTGTAGTGCATATTGGGTATAGAAGACATATCAATGAAATATTGTTTATATTTAATTAGACACTAAACATTTTGCTTTATAGCTTCTTCAAGAGCGTTCAGTAAAACACCAACTGAAACTGACAGTACAAAGCTTCAAAACGTTTTGGTGTTTTAAGGTCGTTTATTTCTACTATTATTATGTCACTCAATAATGTTTTCACGTCAAGTGAAATGACGTCCTAATAAACATTGTTGTATGACATACTTGTTTCAAAACATAATTTCGAACGACTCAAGTAATCCAAACGCGTCTTAGAACTTATCAACCTTTGACAGACACAGAAATTAGTCGTTAACATTTAATTTGGAAGTGTAAACAGTAATCATAGGACACGTTTTACTTTTTCAACATTCATCTCTTCCAAAAATACCTGCATGAATTACTTTCTTATTTTATCATGTTTACGGGCCATACTTACATCAGGTATTTTATCTTGTTTACGGCCCATACTTACATCAGGTATTTTATCTTGTTTACGGCCCATACTTACATCAGGTATTTTATCTTGTTTACGGCCCATACTTACATCAGGTGTTTTATCTTATTTACGGCCCATACTTACATCAATATAATAATAAAGATCATGTAATCTCGTCCATAACAGGAAACATGCATAGTGTTTGATGAAATTCAATCATATAATAATAAAAATTGGATGTTAACACACCAAACTACCACCCATAATTATATGGCAATAGAATAATAGTATCCCCAATATAGTTGATGTTGACACACCCAACTACCACCCATAAGTATATCACAATAAAATTATAATACCCACAATATAGTTGGATGTTAACACACCCAACCGCTGCCAATACTTATATCACAATATAACTATAATATTCCATATATATATATATATATATATTGGGTGAGCTATAAAATTATGCAAATTTATGCAAACTCAAAATAGCATTTGATTGACCTTGATTTGACTTTTATGTCATGACAGGTAACAATTGGCCCCAATATGCCTAAACAATCCGTGTTAACAGAATTTCGATATTTCACAACAGTAAGGAAAATCAGAACTTTGACTCACCCGATATATATATATGTGTGTTCAACTATTCACCTCAATTGTCTTGATCTGAGCTGATTTGACTTGCACAGATCAAACGTCCTCCGTTCAGTTCTTATAGGATCTGCACAAATGGATAGGGGATATTGAGGTCATATATATATACTTCACAGTCCATGAAAGTTCTCGATGTATAGCTCAAAATGCGACCATCTCATTTCTATGATGAAAAAACTGTTATTTACGGTGATGCAAACGCCCTCCAACACCAACGCACTCAGCAACAGTCAGCCTGTTATTGGTAACGTATGACTATATATAAATATATACTTCACAGTCCATGAAAGTTCTCGATGTATAGCTCAAAATGCGACCATCTCATTTCTATGATGAAAAAGCTGTTATTTACGGTGATGCAAACGCCCTCCAACACCAGCGCACTCAGCAACAGTCATACGTTAATGGTAACGTATGACTTTAATCGAAATGCTATGATTAGAAGTCAAACTGATCAATGCTTCATATATCTATTTTTCCTTATATCTGTAGATACTTGTGCATGGCCTTCACTCAAACCATTTGATTTGAGTACTTATTTGGAAGAAAAGCGAATTACTTTTAATTAGTACGTGTAACGTTAACATTCACTGGATTCATTCTATAAGTGGATCGAAAAAAGAAGAATTTCACAACAACAGCAGATAGCATGATTAGAAGTTAAAGAATAATCTGTTTAAAGACCCACAAGTTGATCTCGTTCAGTGATGCATTAATCCAATCGTGAGTACTAATTTCTGAATTCCATTTGTTAGACACCAGATAATTCTACTCGTCCTAGGTCGTATTTCCGACAAAGAAATGATTAAGCATGTTCGTTCTTTATCATCAAATCAATTCTGGGCATAACCTGCAAAGTTCAGAATTATTATGTTGTTTTCACAACAATAAAAACCACAAATTGTTGAGGCCTGCGAGAGCAATTAATTTTTTCCTTCCAGTCCACCTAATGCTCAGACAATCATTGATAATATTTCCTACCTGAGTAATTTTTTTTTTAGTTAAAATAACATTTTTCTTATATTTTAAGTTTTGATAAAGCTATCTTTGTATTATTTCACTAATAGGTGCTCTGTTACTGCGGATTCTCGTCAGAACTGTTTTACACATTTTTTTTTGTTCGCTCAGTGCTTAGTTTCACTTGAAACTTGCGCTAATCTCAAGTGATATCTTGTATTCGTCTGATTATTGCAATTAATTTTTTCTTCTTTTATTCACTACATAGATATAAAATATTTTAAAAGCTAAACTAAACGTTCGTTGACTCAACCAATAAAATGATATCCTGCAATGTTCCACAATTTTACAAACTTAGAATGTCCACCACATGGTATTCCAGTTTCGAGCTAGTTACACTGATATCAAAATGAAGTCCTGCTTTCATAAAGTTACCATTATATCTGAAAGATATTGTCATTAGATTTCATTACGTTTTTTATGTTGTCAATATTGAATTATTTTCAAATTTAGAATGTGGACTTTTTAATATTCCATTTCGCACATCTTTTGAGTAGGAGTTTCTCTACAGCTTAGATAATCATCATTGTTCACTCTAACATTTTATTTCATATTGTATAAGGTACTTAATTCGGATATGTTTCCCCGCTTTATATCGAAATTAATGAATACTGGAATAGTTTGTTTGTTGTTATGCACGAAGTTACACAGGGATCTAACCCAGAATTTTATCATATAAGCCTTCAAACAGAGCCACTACAGGAGATCATATTACAATTCTACAACTCTGAAAACTAACCTACTATATTTCAAAGGTTAACATTTCCTTCCTCTCCAGGTGAATAACACTGTAATATCAGCTGTAATTTTTAGAGTGAATTTAAATCATTCTAACTCAAAAATAGAATACATTATTATTATTATAGAATAATTTCATATTATTTATCCTTAGAGTTAATATATCACCTACTTTAAGTTATTTAAAAATCTGAAAATTATAAGGCATTGTTATTTGAACTAAGATATAACAACCGAATAAAGTCCATTTACAATGTGAATTATCAACTCACATTATCGTAAAGGACAAATTATGCGTACAAAATAAGAATGTTAAGTTAAACCTGAATGAATCTCCTATTTGAACACGTGTTGCTCTACGTAGCATTCATCGTAAGCCCTTGGTTTTATTGATTCTATGGGAAAGTCTATAGCTATCGGTTTACTTATATATATCTATAATAGTCTTAAACGAAATACACATTTAAAATTTGTGGCTCTCACAAAACCTTAATTGTTTTAATTCACAACATAAAATTGTCAGCATTTGCTATGAATTACTCGTTTCTCGTTGCAATTATTGATTTAGGCTTATGTTGTTTTTATGATGTTTTATTTAGCTTACGCTATGCAGAATCTCTCAGACATATCCTTTGCTAGCTTCTCATTTATCTTTAATTTTTATCTATTTCATTAAACTAAAAGCCCGCACTCATATTGGTCGATGAGACAAAACTTGTGAAGCTATTCGCTAACTGACGAATATGTATACCTTTTGATGAAATAAAACCATATTGGAGGGTATTATAGTTGTATTGTGATATAATTATGGGTGGTAGTTTGGTGTGTTAACATCTAACTATATTGGAAGGTATTATAGTTGTATTGCCATATAATTATGGGTGGTAGTTTGGTGTGTTAACATCCAACTATATTGGAGGGTATTATAATTGTATTGTGATATAATTATGGGTGGATAGTTTGGTGTGTTAACATCTAACT